TCTTTGATTAACAATATTTAGAGTACTAAAAAGCTTTGGTAGAATAAAATCAAGGATACAGAATCTGTTACGATACTGTAAATATGACCTCTATGGTTCAGCCTCAGATGTAGTCAACTGTTGTAACTGATTTTGTTGAGAGATTTCATATCCTGAAGTAAGCCTAGGAATATTTCATAGGCATGAAACACTTTAGACCCTCCTTTCCCTCCTTTCCCTCCTTTCCCTCCTTTCCCTCCTTTCCCTCCTTTCCCTCCTTTCCCTCCTTTCCCTCCTTTCCCTCCTTTCCCTCCTTTCCCTCCTGACACTGGTCATTGTGTTTCAACTTTTTTGATTAAAATAAAATACAATTGATCCCTAACAGCAGGCCCTTACCGAAGACACATACATTGGCTTAACATCCATAGTTATTACCCTACTTAATAATGTGTCAAAACTTCCAATACAAAAGCCATTTTTTAAGCAACTGTTGCAGTTTTATTGGCAGGAAATGCTACTTTGGATAGGAAAGTTTTCACCACCCTGGAAAGTTATTGCCCAATTAAGTTATAACTTTGCTTTTTAAAAACGAGATTTGATACGTTTTTTGCATACTCATAATTTAAAGACAGCTTTGATTTTCAAACTAGAAGTTTGCATGCTATCACTTTCCACTCTCAGCCACCTCAGTCCTTTCTGAATTTGCAGTAATAACTCTTTGCACTTCTGGAGAGTAATATAACACCACTCGACTGTGCAAGTTTTCTTTGCAATTGCTGTGAAGAGAAATGGTAATGCTCTTTCTTTGTGACAGTACTGTGGCCTTTTTTCCTGTTGTAGTTCCCTTTTACACCCCTCTAGGTGCACGTGGTATCTTTTTATTGACAGAACCTTCTTTACAGCCTAATTCTTAAGCAGTATGATGGCTAGCATGTCATTGCTTCCTAGCTTAGAGCAGTTTGACATCTTACACTTCTGCAGGAAGCCACTGTTTGTCTACTGTGTTAATGACGGCCTATGTGCTTCCATTTTAAATCTCTTTCTCAATTAAAATTTTCCAAAGCTTTTGGGCTGCATTTTCTCTAGCTTGATGTCTGCCCAGAACTAGACCTACTTTTGTTTTTAGAGGGGTTGGGATGGGGTTACAAAGTGTGCAAGCTGTGTTTGCTTACCAAATGTGAAAGGAGAGAAACTTCTCTCTTTCTACTGTGATGAGTCAAAATTCACATGCTCTCTAGTGTGCTTCTCCATGTTCTGGTGAAAAGTAGTTTGCATTTTAGGTTCATTTTGACCCAGTGAACATTTCATTTGGTATACGTGCAGGGCAATAGTTGTTTTTTAGCAATAGTTGAGCAAAGAACAGGCTGTGTTGGAAATGCCTGCAAGGCTAAGTGCAGTGTGAAAACTCCTCAAAAAAAATAATGCATGGGATTCAGGTAAAGGCCTGTTTTAAGGAAAAGCTCTGTTCAAAGCAGAAGGTCTTTTTCCTGTCTCTTTAGATGTGTTGGAAATGTTGCTTGAATGGTCTCAAGTACTGGCCTAAACAATTTGGGTTTAGTATTGAATATTAGGATGAATGCTTAAGGCTGAACTTTTAGACACCTGCTACAGTTCCCTTTGGCAGTGACATTTCGCCTGCTAGTTCCATGGCAATCACAGCATGGATAGTGTCTAGATAAAACTTGAGTACTGTCCTATGTCAGGTCCTTCTTCAAATCTCAGCACTCTGAAGTCTGATGAAGGTGAACACTAACAGTAATTTCTCATTCATCAGAGTGTTTCCAGAACTTTTGCTTTTGTCTGACCATTTTTTTTTAGTTGACCAGAAGTAGGTGAGAGTCAGAACAGCTGCTTCATCTTTTCCCCAAATGCTTGCCCTCCTCTGAAGAGGATTGTCTAATTTTTCTACTTCAGGATCTGCCTTTAAATGTCTTGTGTGCTTTGTGCTCAATCACGTATAAGTTGCCTATAGTCAATTTAGGAGTTTCTATGCGTCGTCATCTCTTCCTAGAATGACAGAGTGAAAAGAATGAAGAAATTGCCTTTGGAAAAGAAACTGGTCTTTCAGTGTAAGGAAATAGTGCTAGAAGCTGCATAAACAGGTTCTACAGGAGACAAATGCATGACAGATATTTTAAGTCATACTAGAGATAACTCGTATCAATGGCAGGATGCATAACTTAATCTCCTTGATGAACTACTTCTTAGCCTTTGTTTGACAGAGGACCTTGACTGCTGGTTTAGTGGCAGTTTTCATCTTTCACCAACTGCAAGAAAACTTCTAGCCCTTCATTCACTGTTAAGATTTGCCTATGTATGCTGCATTCATTATTCTTTGTTGTTCCTCATTGCGTCAGATACAACGTTCAGAGTGAACAAATCAGCAACTTGCATGCCCCCAAAGCACCTTGAGTGGGCATTTAGTAGATCTTTTTTGGTTTGCTTGGGTTTTGTTTTTTTTTTTTTCTTTCTTCTTCCCATCACTGTTTGCCCTTCCCTTAATATCAAATTGTCCTCTGGTCAGATTCCCCTGCAGTAGATCTTCTGTTCTTGCAGTCACAGTGAGAAACTTGGTTGAGATAATGACCAGATTCATCGTACAAAGGACACACATGACCTCCAGTGAGCAGCACAATGTGAGTTAGACATCTTCAGCACAAAAGAAAAAAAGAAATAATAGCTCAGAGGGGACCAAATGGGGAAACTTATAGAAAAAGGCAGAGAAACGTATTTTTGGTTCATCAAACTGCTGCTTGTTATGTTCCAAACACTTAAGGACCTCTCTACACTAGAGAAACTTCCCAAATGCTTCCCAGCTTTGCCACCACTTTTCAGCTGCATCAGTAGTAAAATATATGGGGAGCCCAAGAATAAAGGGGCCACCAGCTGGCACTGCTGTCTGCTATTTGCATCTTACTTTAGGGCACATCTGGTAGACATGGTGCATAAAATCCCTTCAGCGGCTGGTAGCGGATCTACATGAGAGCTGCTGGCCTTGGCTGCAACTGGTTTAGCTGAGCCAGTGGTGTCAAAAGAGGAAACGTTTTGCCTTGTTTTCCAAGTGCAGACCAAGCCTAGTGCTGGACTGCTGCTTCATGTTGGTAACACTGGTGTTATTATCAAATTTGTTCTTTGACTTTAAAAATTTTTATTTTATTATTTATTTATATGATTATTA